ATGTGTGTCCTGTATTATCTTGTTCCCTTTGCAAAAACTACAGATTACAGCACCTAGAAATCCTGCTTCCCCGGCCACCTGGGCATCCCTCCGTCAGGTGGGCCCGGGAGATCTAACCATCGCGGTACCCACTGGTGTCCGCGGTCAGCTGCCCCCGAGCTGGTGCCTGGGCCCTCGGTCGTTCCCGCCGGGGCCGTCCCGTCTCTCCCTCGCCCGTCTGTGACGACCCCTCAGCAGGAGAAGCCCGGCTCGAGCTTGCCCTCCTTTCTCAGTGCCCACTTCGGGAGTGGTCGTCAGACTGTCCCCCGTCTCTCCGTGGCGTGCTGCGGCGGGGTACATTTCTTTGCCCCCCTTCTCGCAGACTGTCGTCACCGCCAGCATGACGTCAGTCCGTCCCTCTCCCCAGCGCTCTGTGGTCTGGTGGTTCATGCATTTGCAGTGCAGTCAGATCGATTGCTGCATCAGATCTGGGGAGCCCGTGGCTTCCTGAGTTATTCTGAGACGTTTGCAATCATTAAGGCTCACTCTGCCTGAAAAGGTCTGGTTTTTTTTTTTGTTTTGTTTTTTTTTCTGGTACCGGAAATCTAACTCACGACCTCATGCTTGCCAGGCAGGCGCTGTGCCGCTGAGCTAAATCCCCAGCCCCTTTTTTGTCTTTTTGAGACGGTCTCGCTGTGCAGTTCAGGCTGGCCTTGAGCTCACTTTGTAGCCCACGCTGGTCTCGAACTCGCATCCATCCTCCTGCCTCCGCCTCCCAAGTGCTAGGATTATAGCCATGCGCCACCACGCCCGGCGACTGTTCTGGGGGTTTTGGCACATGCAGAGTGTTACGTAGCTGCGGCTACCCTATCATATGGAGTAGTTTCACTGCCCTAAATTCCCCTGGGTGTGACACATTCAGCCCTGAGATTTCCACCCTCGTGTGGTCTTCCCTTCTGTGAGAAGCATGGGAATCACAGGGTTTGCGGCATTTCAGGAGGGCCTTTCCCACTGCTTTATGCATGTGAGGTTCCTTGCTGTCTGTCTTGTTTTGTTTTGAGAGCAGGTCTTGCTACATAGTTCAGGCTGGCCTTGAACTCTCTATGTGGCCTACAACCTCAAGGCAGTCCTCCTGCCTCAGCCTCCCAAGTGCTGAGATGACAGGCGTGCACCATCACGCCCTGCCCTTGGTGTCTTTCTGATAGGTTGGTTGCTTTATCACATCGTTGAACAGCTGTGCCGCGGCGTGGTTATGTAGTTACGCATCAAAGGACATCTTGGTCGATTGCAGTTTTGGGTAATTATGAACAGTGCCGCCATCAGCATTGGCATGCAGGTTTTCTGTGAACACAGTGTTCATGAGGGCTGGGTCCGTGCCTGGGAGTGTCACCGCAGGGTGGTAGAGCGAGACTGTTTAGTTTGGTGAGAACACCCAGCCTGTCTTTGTGCCTGTACCGTTCACCGAGTCCCTGTCCTCTACACCCTCACTGCTGACTGTTGTCAGCTTTAGGATTTTAGGCACTCTTAATAGGTATGCAGTGGCACCTTCTTATCTATTAGTTTGTGATTCCCCACTGACAGAGGGTGCTGAGCAGCTTCCCACATGGTTGCTTGCCATCTCTGTATCTTCAGTGGGGATGTATCTTCAGATCTTTTCCCCTGTTTTAATTAGGTCTTCCTTTTTAGCTGTTGAGTTTCAGAAATTACTTGGTACTTTGGATCCAAGTACTTTATCAGACAGATGTTTTGCAAATAGTTTCTATTTTGTTGTTTGTTTGAGTTTTTTGTTGTTGTTGGTACTGGGAGTTAAACTCATGCCCTCAGGCTTGCCAGGCAAGTGCTTATGCCGCTGAGCTATATTGCCAGCCCTGTTTTTTTTCTTTTTTGTCTCTTTGAGACATGGTTTTGCTGTGTAGTTCAGGCTGGCCTTGAGCTCACTTTGTAGCCCAGGCTGGTCTTGAACTTGCAACGATCCTCCTACCTCAGCCTCCCGAGTGCTGGGATTACAGGCGTGCGCCACCACACCCGACTGTTTTTTTTTTTGAGACAGGCTCTCCTCATGTAGCCTAGGCTGGCCTGAAACTCGAAGCAGTCTTCCTGCCTCAGCCTCCCGAGTGCTGGGATTATAGATGTATGCCACCACATGTGGCTGCAAATAGCTTCATTCAGTGGCTTGTTTTTTGATTCTTATCTTTATTTATTTATTTTTGAGTGGGATGTCAAACTCCCAGGCTCAAATGATCCTCCCATCTCAGCCTCCGTGTGCTGGGACGACAGGCATCATCACCACACCTGGCTCCTCTCATGCTTTTAGCAGAGGGAAAGTTTTCATTTTAAAGTCTAATAGCAGACTTTTTTTCCCTCCACGGATAGTGGCTTTGGTATCGCCTCTAAAAATCATGTAAGTTTAGTCATACTTAAGATCATCTGGGTTTTCTCATGTGTTCTGCAAGTTTCATGGTCTGCATTTTACATCCAAGTCCTACTGAGACCCATTGGTTCGTTTTTGGTGACAGGGGTAAGGGCCGTGGTCTAGGTGGGTTCTTTCGCACGTGCATGTCCAGCTCTGCGCCATTCTTTAAGGACAGTCATTCTCCATGGCGCGGTTCCTTTACCAGCAGTCAAGCGGCTGCATTTGTGTGGGGTCCCGTGTTCCCTCCCCCGATGTGTGTAGCAGTTTTATCATCATGACCACACTGGTTTGATTTCTACTGTAGCTTTGTAGTGAGACTTTAAACCATCTCGTGTAAGCTCTCCAGAGCCGTACCTCAGGATTGCCTCCGCTCAGGGTTTTCTTTCTTTCTTTTTTTCTTTCTTTCTTTCTTTCTTTCTTTCTTTCTTTCTTTCTTTCTCTTTCTCTTTCTCTTTCTCTTTCTCTTTCTCTTTCTCTTTCTCTTTCTCTTTCTCTTTCTCTTTCTCTTTCTTTCTTTCTTTCTTTTTCTTTCTCTCTCTTTCTTTCTTTCCTTCCTTCCTTCCTTCCTTCCTTCCTTCCTTCCTTCCTTCCTTCCTTCCTTTCTTTCTCTCTCTCTCTTTCTTTTCCTCTCTCTGGCTCGCTCTCTGTCTCTCTCTCTTTCTTTCTTTCTTTTTGTCTTTTTGAGACAAAGTTTCACTACGCAGTTCAGGTTGGCCTAGAACTCACTTTGTAGCCCAGGCTGGCCTCAAACTCCTGGTGATCCTCCTGCCTCAGCCTCCCCAGTGCAGGGATTAGAGGCGTGCGCCACTGTGCTCGGCAGTCTTCACTTTTTCATATGAACTTTAGGATTCATTGGTCAGTATTTACAAAAGAGCATGCTGGGAGTTTTATTAGCGTTACATTGAGTCTGTAGCTGAAATTGGAAGGAATTGGTACCATTACAGGATTGGATCTTCTAACTCTTGGGCTGTCTCTCACTTAGATCTTTGATGTAACAACTTTTGTGGTTGTCTGCATATGGGTCCTATGCATAGTCAGGCTTATGTGCAGCACAGTTACTGTTCACTGTGGCCGAGGGTGATTAAATATTTCCCCACAGACTCCAGGCATTCATTACTGGTGTACAGGACCGCAGTTTTCATGTAGCTGCAGCTTTGTCTCCTGCAGTCTTGCTCTTCTTGCTTATTTCCTTCAGGTTTTCTTGATCCTCTGGTATTTTTCTGCAGGGACATGCGTGACATCTGGGAACAGTTTTATTTCTCCCTTCCCTGTCTGTATAGTTTTACTTCCTCTTTTTGTCATACTGTATGAGCTTGAACTTTCAGTTTGATGTTAAGTAGGAATGATGTCAGAAACATTCTTACTCTGTTCCTGACCTTAGTGGGGAGTTCAGTTTCTCACTGAGTATGAATTAACCCTAGGTTCTTTTTTTGTTTTGCGTAGGTGTGAATATTCTTTACCAAGTTAAAGTTCTTGCTTCCTAGCTGGCTGAGATTTATTTAAAATCCTGAATGGGTGTTAGATTTTGTCAGATGGTTTTTCTGTATTTTTTGTTGTTGTTGTTTTTTTTCCGGTACCGGGAATCAAACTCACGACCTTGCGTTTGCCAGGCAGGTGCTGTGCCGCTGAGCTAAATCCCCGGCCCAGTATTAATTGATATAACCATGATTTTAGCTTGTTGATGTGATGCATTTTAACATTTTTCTGAAGTTGAGCCATCCTTGCATGCTTGGAGTCAGCCCCATTTACCGACTTGTGTATAATTCATCTACATTGTTGCATTCTGTTTGCCGTATTTGGTTGAGGATTTTGTTTCTGCAAGGGAAACACGGGTGTCTAGTTTGTTTTGTTTAGCTCTGATTTTGGTGTCACAGCAGCGCAGCCTCGTTATTGCCCAGTTGTTACTCTTCTTCAACAGAGCCAGACAGACAGCAGTTGTCCTTGACACTTCTCAGGGACAACCTGGTGGGACCCCTGGTGTTAAGAGCAGCCTAGTGGTGGGGTGCACACCTGCAATCTCAGGACCCTGGGAGACTGAGGCAGGCGGATCACAAGCCTGGGCCATTTAGACCTCAGCATAAAATAGGACTGGGGATGTAGCTCAGTGCCGAGGCCCTGGGTTCAATCCCCCATACCACGACCTACGTAGGTTTGGGGCTCCTTGAAGACAGTGGCCAGCAGGAGTTTCTTACCCTTGTGCTAGTTCATGCTCAGCACTGGCAGGTGCTCAGAACCACCTTTCAGGCACCCTGCAGTTGATGATTCCAGCACCCAGGTAGCGGAGCCTGACTGGGGCTTTCTGATTTTTTTTTTTTTTTTTTTTTTTTTTTCTTTTTTTTTTTTTTTTTTTTTTTTTTTTTTTTTTGTCTTTTTGAGACAGGGTCTCGCTATGCAGTTCAGGCTGGCCTTGAGCTCACTTTGTAGCCCAGGCTGGTCTCAAACTCGCAATGATCCTCCTGCCTCAGCCTCCTGAGTGCTGTGGCTACCCCACCATTATTTGTTAATTACAGAGGGGAAAAAGGACGGGGGGGAGGGCGGGGGTCCTAGCTGGGCCGTGACATCCGGGCCTCAGCCCCTGGCTCATGGTGGCCTCTTCTCTCCCTCCAAGGTCGCCTGGTCGGCGCTCTGGACGCAGTGCTGGACTCCAACGCGCGGGTCGCCCCGTTTCGGATTCTGCTGCAGGTCCCCGGGTCCCAAGTCTACTCCCCCATCGCCTGCGGTGAGTCACTGTGCGGAGGGCCGGGACGCGGGCTGGGCTCTCCCCCCGGGGAGTGGCGCTCAGGGCGAGGGCCAGGCCCGGTCTGAGCGTGCTGAGTATTTCACATCGGGGTCGGGGACGCGGGAGGGGACCCAGAGCCTCTGCCCGCAGCCCTCCCTGCTGCCTCCTGCCCTTGTCACCCCCTTACCCATGTCTTCCCCCCTCACCCCCCAAGCCCTAGAAGCACGGAGCTCAGGCGGGGCAGCTCGGGGACGCGGTTCTCAGGGTGCTGGCTGAGGTCCAGCGGAGCCGCCTCCTGGGCTCTTTCCCATCACACGTGGGGTCACATGTCACCGTCACCGGGCTGTGTCTGTTCCTTTGTGCCACTAGGGTGAATCATGGGACTTTGGGTGCCAAGGGTCACCTTTGCCCTGCCCAGGGGCTGTCCCTCCCTGAGGACTGCTGGGCGCCCCGTGGACCCTCACAGCTCCGTGCCGGGCTGGAGGCTGCGGCCGGGGACACCCTTCTCTGCACCTTCTGGAAGTTAAAGGAGGAAAAATCGTCTGTAACTACTCCATATGTACCTGTGTCAGAGTCATGCATGGAGGTCTCTTTAGTTTGGCTTCTCTCTTTTTTTAGTCTTTTTTTGAGACAGGGTCTCGCTATGCAGTTCAGGCTGACCTTGAGCTCACTTTGTAGCCCAGGCTGGCCTAGAACTCGAGTCAATCCTCCTGCCTCAGCCTCCCAAGTTGTGGGATTACAGTGGTCTCATTCACCGGAGGGAATTTGTACCTGTACATGATATGCCTTGAGATTCTTTTTTTCCTCATTCCCTTCCCCTCCCTTCAGCCCCTCTTCCTCTCCCTACTTACAAAAGCTTAGTTTTTTCCTTCTTTTCTCTTTTCCCTCCCTTTCCGCCTCCTCCTTCCCTAGTTCCCCTTCCAATTTGAAGTTTTTTCCTCTTTCACAATATCTATTACACATTTTGGTTCTTATTTACACTTTTGGTTTCTTACATCAGAGAAAATGCAGTATTTACACGTGTGTGTCTGATTTCTTTCACTTCAGAGTATATTCTCAAGGTGCATCCATGTACCTAGAAATGTCTTGAGATTATCCTTCTTATGGCTGAGTAGCACTCTATGGTATAAAAAAACCACATCTTATTCATTGGTTGATGGACGTTTGGGCTGTCTCCAAGATTTAGCTGCTACAAACTGTGCAGCTATAAACATGGGTGCACGTATATCACTGTGGTCTGATGCTTTTAATTCTTTCAGGAAGATGCCAAGAAGGGGACTAGCTGGGCCAAATGGAACCTCTAGTCGTAGTATTTTGAAGAATCTCTAAAACTTTCCATACTCTATTAGGTACCATAAATATTCAGTATCACTTCCTGTCTTCTAGTACCGTCAGACCTCCTGGAAAGTGCAGAGTACAGAGAAAACTCTCCTTCACATCCACCGCCCAACACTCACTGCTGTGAGGGTCTCTGCTGCTTTTTTCCAGCCTGTTCTTATTTTTATTTAGGAGTAATCATTCTATATTTGTGTAAAACGATAAAAAAAAAGATAGTCAATATAAAGAAATCAACATTGAAGAATACAAAGAAGAAAATACCTAGGGAGGGAAATTCTAGTCACCCCCGGTAACCTCTAGTTACACTGTAACTTGTCCGCTATTTGAATGAAAGTATTGAGTTGATTTCAAAAAAAGGAAACTAAACTGAAACCAAAAATGTGCTAAACTTCAAACAAATGTTTCTTTAGCACAAGAAGGATTATTTTTCTAAAAGGTTCACGGAAGGTGGAGGGACGACAGAGTGGAAAGCACTGCGGGGCTAGAATTGTGGATTTTGAAGAGCAGTCTTTCAGCGCTGACAGTGCTCACGTGTGTCCCACCCCAGGGGACAGGGTGCCAGCACCCCTGTGCCCTCTGCTCCCCCAGCCTCTGATTTTAGGGAGTTGTTAGTGTTACGTTGTCGTCCCCATTCTATATCTGTATCTGTATTTTCCATTATTATTATTGTTTTTTTTTTTTTTTTTTTTTTTTTTTTTTTTTTTTTTTTTTTTTTTTTTTTGTCTTTTTTGAGACAGGGTCTCACTATGCAGTTCAGCCTGGCTTTGAGCTCACTTTGTAGCCCAGGCTGGTCTCGAACTCGCAACGATCCTCCTGCCTCAGCCTCCCGAGTGCTGGGACTATAAGTGTGTGCCACCACACCCGGCTGCATGTGTATCATTTTTTGTAAACTAATTTACATTCTGCTTGCTGGATTCTCTAAAGACGTTTTATGTTGGATTGCTATATGTGGCCTTTCATTTCTACTTGCTTTTTTATCTGTCTTTTCCATCAGTACTTTATTCTGCCCATCACTCTTTCTTGAGTGAAAGGGTCTTCATACTGAGCTATAACCTCAGTGCTTTTTTGTATGTTTTATTTTGAGGCAGGGTCTCACTAAGTTGCTGAGTGGCCAGGGCTGCCTTGAACTTGCCGTTGTCCTGCCTCAGCCTCCCAGAGTATTGCGATGACTGGTGGACGCCACCATGGCTGGTTCATGGGATGGCTTTTTAATTTGTATTGTTTGGGGCAGAGAAAGAAGATGGGTTCCTGCTGGACTAGACATAGGGTGGGGCATCGTGGGGGTCTGCGTCCTCTCCTTCCGTCCACTTTTCCTGGGTCTGCTCAACCCCGGGCAGAAGAGGCGGGCTTGTTCTGGATTTAGAGCTTCGGTGTGAGCGTTCGGGTCTGCGTCTTCTTGCTGGGTCGGCTTCTGGGAGTGGGCCGGAAAGTGTGCTGCCCCTTAGCCCACCTGCGGAACCACAGCCGTGTGACGTGTTTCCTGTAGGGCTGCACAGCCTGCGGCCCGGTGGCTGGAGCTCAGTTTACTCATCTGATCCTTTATTAGATACGTGTTTGGTTCCGGGCTTTTACATTTAAAAAACGAACATGTGTTCACTCGGAGTTTCCCGGGCACCTTTGCACCCCAGGGTGCGTCCATTGGCCGTGTTTGGTGCCAGCAGTGCACCTTGTGCCTCCTGGGTACTGGGGACGCTGCGGTGATCGCTGGAGGCCCCTCCCCCGCCTGCGTGACCTCCTGAGGGGAGCGCAGCGGCGTGGGGGAAAAGCAGCACGCCCTGGACCCTTGGAGAGAGAGCACGCAACGGGGAGGCCGCCTCACCGAAGGGCCGTGGGACCGTGCCGCCTTCCCACACAGAGCCGAGCAGCCCTCCTGGGCGCCGTGGGGCGCTGTGGGGCGCAGGGCTGCAGTGTGAGGTCGGAGCAGCCTCAGCTCACGGCGAGTGTGCCCCAGTGCAGCCCCACTGAAGTGAGGAGTGTCTGTCACTGCGAACGAGACCCCCAGGCGGCCCCAGCTGCAGGATCTGGGGTGCAGGGCCCGGGCCTCCTCCTTAGCACGGCACAGTGACTTGCAGGAAGGGGTTGTGTGTGTCTCTTTCCTTAGAAAAATTTGTTGTTGTTGTAAAATATGACATCATAATGTATTAACCACGGTGGCATGTGCTCCAGTTACATTAAGCACGTTCGCAGTATCGTACAGCCAGAGCTACCGTCAGTCTCCAGAACTTCATCTTCCCTGGCAAACCTCACACCTGTTAAACAGCTGTTCCCCAGATCTTGGAAGCAGCCTGTATGTCCACCAGCAGGTGAATGGGAGAAGAGCATGTGGTATCTACACATAGTGGAGTACTACTATGCCATAAAGAAGGATAATCTTGAGTCATTTGTAGGAAAGTGGATGCACCTTAGCTGGGCGTGGTGGTGCACGCCTGTAATCCCAGCACTCACAAGGCTGAGGCAGGAGGATTGTTGTGAGTTTGAGGCCAGCCTGGGCTCCATAGTGAGTTCAAGGCCAGCCTGAACTGCATAGGGAGACCCTGTCTCAGAAAACAAACAAGCAAACCAAAAAAAGAAAGAAAATAGATGCGTGCACCTTGAGACCATGATGGTAAGTGAAATAAATCAGACACACAGCTCAAACATCGCCTATCACATGGTTCTCTTATATGAAAAACCCAAGTATAAGTAAACGAAAAGAGCAAAATACAAGACAGACAAGGGCTGGGGATATAGCTCAGTAGCACAAGCGTCTGCCTGGCAAGTGCAATGCCCTGAGTTTGATTCCCGGTACCGCCCCCCCCCAAAATACATATTCTTGAGCCAAGTGAGATGTTGCACGCCTGTAATCCCAGCACTGGGGAAGCTGAGGCAGGAGGATTGTTTCGAGTTTGAGGCCAGCCTGGGCTACAAAGTGAGCTCAAGGCCAGCCTGAACTGCATAGTGAGACCCTGTTTCAAAAAGACACACACACACAAAAAAAAAAGAAAAGTAAAAAACAGGGTGACAAATCGATTGCAGGTGGGCAGGGGACCCAGAGATGGAGGGAGGGGAGGGAAGGAGAAGGAACGGAGCTGTGTTCTGTCCCGGCGCCAGCTTCCCACGGTGAGTGTGAACCTCCTGTGCCGCAAGCCTCTGTCCCCTCCATCTCTGGAGCCCCTCTCCCCATTTCACCATGAGTGTTGATATCATTATTTTGGTTTCCGCCCGGGATGTGCGGCGTCTCCGTTCCTGGTGGGTATTGGTGCCTGTGCAGGACACACCTGAAATCCCTCTTCCCTTCCCCGCCACTTGCCCTTGCATCCCCTTTGCACCAGGTCTGTCCCTGATTCCTTCTCCCAGTCCTGTATTTTGCTCTGTGTTTCTCACGGGCCTTCCCACGAAACCCTTTCCCCGGCGGTCCTCTCTGCTGGGAGGAGGCATCACTATCTGCCTCTGAGGAGGAGGAGCGTGCACAAGAGCTCGCGCTGGCCAGGCAGCTCGGAGCCGGGGCGGCCGTGCGGGACGGAGTGTCCTCTTGCAGCACCCTTCTGACGCACGCGCGCTTATCCATGCCCTTGACCCTGCCTGGTGTTCTGGGTCCTGTGTTTGGCACCACTGTTGGCTTTGTCTTTGGACAGAGAATTTTATTAAGGGAGGAAATGTTCCAGGATGGATCAGATTAGCAT